ATATATAACCCATAAATAATTTTCAGTATAAATTACAATTACAAATACTTATAATGACAACTAAGTTAAGTTCTTGCTAATTGAAGTTTTACAAGATCTATTTTTAGAAGAAAATCATGGTTACGTGCATATAAGTACCATCAAACTCTTTTTTCATCTTTCTAATCGAGTCTATAACTGCACCATAGTAGCGTCTATACACAAATTCTTTGCTCCAGCAACAGTGTCTGCAAATTTATGACATTAAGAGAGAGAATGAAAAAAAAACAAATATATGTTATGAATATATCTACATACTTAAAATTTTATGTTATATCTAGTCTTTAATAGGATGAAGGAAGAACTATAATATGGTATAAAGTCCGTTTCGTTTACACACTGAATAAACTGTTTTGAGTGAGACCAAATTAAATGACAATTTTAACTTTATTGTACCAAAAAAACATATCACTACATTCATCAAATTTAACAATATTCGTGAATGTAAGGGTAAAATGAGTTGGGAGAAGTAGAAGTGTAACTTTTGCCTATGATATAAAAGGCTCTATTCTTTTACTCTATAGACATTTTTCAAATTAACCACTTCTCAAGAAACGCAAGATAATCGCCAGCTGAAAGGATAAACAATAATCGGAAACATTTCGTTCATACTCATATACAACATTTATTGTATAACAAAAGTAAACATAATATTACGTTAGTTATTGGCTTCGTTTCTTGAATCGAAAAATTATGCCTGAACCGAATGATCTGCAAGACAGAACATTAGAAACAAACGCAATGGTTAAGGCTCAAGTTGGACTCGATTCCCTTAAACAGATTCGCCATCTGTTCCCAGGCTACAACAACCATAACAGTCGGTACTGTCGGATATGGCTACTTGCCTGAAAAAGTTGTCGGAAATAGTTGCAGAAAGAAGGAGAAAAAAGATAAGTATTTTCATCTATGTATCGAATGAGGTATCAGTGGTTTGTTTTTATACCGGTTTGTGATGGCAAGAAATCAATTCGTCATTAAGGAATTGATTGTGCCAATGAATGCTATAAAAAAATGCATAATTAATACGCACTAAATGCACCGGTTACCAAAAATTCAAACAAAGTATAGAGATGTCAATGGGAGTGGAAATAGTTGCCCCTGCCCCCACTCCCAAATTCTGATGTTGCCCCCGCCCCTGCCTCCGAATCCTCCGTTTACATTACCCCCGATCCCACCCTCGAAATTTGATGTTGCCTCCGATCCCGCCCCCATTCCCCCGTTTTATAGGCTTAAAATTGACTTTTATGCTAAAAAAACTGCTATATTTTTGGCTAAAAAACTATTTTACATAACTTTAAAAGCTTAAAATCTAATTTTTTTTAGCAACTAAAAAATTAAAAATCCAACATTGCAAATAACAAAATGACAAATCCAACAAAAAAAATCCAACATTACAAAACGACAAATCCAACATTACCAATATAAAATACGACATATCCAAGAATATATGACTAGTTCACTACATCTTCAATATCCATCAATTGCCTCAAACTCTTCATTCTTTGACATTTGAATATCCTCCCTAAATAAATAATAACAATAATAATAAAATAAATTGGTATATTAGTTTAGTTAATACAAAACGACAAATTCAACAAACTTACCTCAATTCCCTCGTCGTCTTCATCAGAATGTAAATCGTCACCATCAATAACACAACCTAACAAATAAAAAATAAATAATGGTAATAAGCAAAATATGTTAAAATGAACAAAACAAATAATGATTCGAGTAAAGTCATATATACCTTTTTTACCCGCCCAAATCCAATTTTGAGTGCATATGATAGCTTCAATTGTTGACGGAAGAAGTCTACTCCTATGTGGACTAACGATTCTACCACTTGTATAAAAAGAAGACTCTGAAGAGATAGGAACGGCTAATATGTCTCTTTTAATCAAACACAATGTAGGATATTTAACCCCATTTAACTTCCACCAACCTAACACATCAAACTCATGAATCCGGGGTAAAGTGTTATCCTCTAAGTACCTTTCTAATTCATTTTTTACAAAAACTTCACTAGTAGAAGAATTCCATGAAAAGAAAGCATCTAATGACAAAAATCTCTAAAGCCTTCGTGTTCAACAATTCTAAGTGGGTAATCATGTTTTGTGATCATTTTAGCAAGATCAATCCGCGAATCATCATAATTAAACCGATGTGTTGCTAAAATTGATCCCCCGCTTTCATCCGTCTTAGATCTTTTTCCGGTTATCTGACTCTGAAAATCATAAATTTTCTTTTGTCCGGTTCGTATTTTGCATGCCTTATGGTGAGTATGCATCCCGTTCGTTCCATTTTTGCTTGTATACATAATTTCCTTTCTACAATACTTACAAACATCCATTATGGTTCCATTGACATCTTCATAGGTGAAATGACGCCACATGGGAGATTTAAATTTCATTTGTTTCTCGTTATAGTTAACTGCAGAATTGGCGGTATCATTAACTATGTTTGAATCATTGGGTTGATTCGGCTCTGCTGAAGACATGATTACAAAAATCTAAAAATGGTTCACACAAATATAAAAATTAACATTATTTTTTTCGTATAACTAATAAAATCTATCAGCAACTATAGTAAGATCCCATAATCTGTCAACATTAGAATTATGGACTTATGGTTAAGTAGAATAAGCAAAGGAAGTCAATGAGAAAACACAACAACAAATAGTGAGAAAACAGTGAGAAATAGAATACAACATAGCACCAAACCATAAATTACACGAATCGGTGAGAAATAGTGAGAAATAGAGGTAAATCATCAAAAATCGTGAGCCAACAGTCGAGGGTAAATAAGCAATCAATAAATCAAACTCTCAATTGTATCAGAGAAGGAAATAGAGGGTAGATTACCACTTATAAGCTTACAAGCTTGTAAGCCTATCATTCATTCATGCTTATAAGCTCACCTGATTATGGTTTTCTTACCAATGTGGGATTTATTCCCACACCCACCTCTTTTGCTAACTTCTATTCCCAAATACCCAACTTTGAGTATTGATATCTCATTCACATACACTCCATTTTGGACATACGCTATATCGTTGCAAAGCTCTCACGGAGTAGAATACAAACCCAGTTAGAGTTAATTATATATACAACATATGTATAAATTTATATATGTCCAGAGTTAATAAAAATACACATATTTATACTAAAATTTCCAACAATCCCCCACATGAATGGGGATCGTTCTCTACACATCAAATTTCAAAACGAAATTTTCAATAGTTGACTCATGCATAGGATATGTAGGTGTTATCCTTTGAACCCTCCCTTAAGAATTATACTTAATCTCCTAGCAGGCAGTAGATATCGATGTCTTTGAACTGAGCTACCATTTGTGTAGACGACAATGTAATTCTCATAGGACTCTGCTTGACAACGTCATATCCTCATAGACGTGTTTGTTTTGGTCATGAACACTAACATGGTTTTGCAAGAGCTTCAGGAATTATGCCCCCTAATTCCCTTCGCTTGCGACCCCACTTCTCTGTCACATAGGTGATTCCAAAAATCATTAAAAACCATATGTTTAGCCTCATTTTCACTCATATAGGAATGGAATAGGAAGTAATGTTAATCCCCCACAGTAACCTACCTCACTCATACAACTAGGTTGTCCTTTTGAACCTGAATCTTGGGATCTCAAGTCTTCTGCTTAAGGTTTCCTTTGTATGAATTTTTTCATTCAAGGGCTTTAGTCTCATTCCTCTTGACGACTTATAAACTACATCTCTTCTCAAGCATTTTGTAAGCGGATCAGCAATGTTATCCTTTGACTTCACCTAGTCAACCGTGATAACCCCATAGAGATTAGTTGTCATATCGTTTTATGCCTACGTCTAATGTGCCTTAATTTCCCATTATACATTGTACTTTGAGCTCTATCAATTGCCGATTGGTTATCACAATGTCTACATATGGCCGTTATCGGCTTTATCTATTCGGGAATGCCCTCTACAAATTGACGTAGCCACTCCGCCTCTTCAACACAAATATCTAATGTGATAAATTCAGATTTCATTGTCGATCTGGATATAACCATTTGCTTGGACGATTTCCAAGCTAGCAGCACCTCCAAGTGTAAACACATATCCACCTGTAGATTTGGAATCTTTTATGACTGTCACACCCCCGGCTGAGGCGGCGGAACACGCTGGGTTGTGCGACTAAGTTCATGGATCACAGGTAAACTGAATATATAACATAAGTACAACAATAAAAAAATAGCATTCAAGTTCCATCTTGATATTTGAATACAAGGTTTTTACAAATAATAATATTATATGAATTGCCTTAACAAATAGGCATATAACACAACAACAAGTAAACTAGGCCACCTGTAATCCACTCCATCTTGAATGTGATATTGCCATATTTATACATGTTTTTAGGCAATATTTATTTACATTTTTATTAATATTTTGGTTATTAGCATAGAATAATGGTACTTATAAGCTTGAATTGCTCTTTGCAGCCAAATAGAAGCATTTTTGAAGAAAAGGACTAAAATGGCGAAACATGGAACTTTGGAGGCTGGGAGATTAAAAGAAGAAGAAGCTTACGTAATCAGCTCATATTCACGTCGTGAGGTTTATGGATTCACGACGTAAGCACGAATCTTCTAGAAGATAAACAACGCGAAAGGAGTCCTTGTCCAACACGTATATCTCATATTCACGTCGTGAGACATATCTATTCACGACGTGAGTGCAGAAAAATCAGAAACTATATATATTGTTGCTCATTACGACTTGGGGGACTTCTTGGCCAAATTGGAGGATTCCTGGAGACGAAATTCAGTGGGAGAAAAGGTCTGGAATTAGTTTTCAACACCAAGGGGAAAAAAGAGTTCATATTAGCTTAACAATTTGGTACACTTTAATTATGTTTTTTAGTATGAGTTATTTGAGTTTGTTTGCTAGTATGTCCAGCTAAATCTAGCTGCTTCTGTTAGCTAGATGAAGCTGGAACTCATGGTTTCAATAACTTAGTTTTGACTTACTTGTTGTATATGACTTGTGTTAGATTGATTGAACCTAGCATGTTGATTTAATATTAGATTGCTTTAAATTCCTGTTCTGTGTAGTTAGTGAATATGAAGCTGCATGAATTTGAATACCTAATAATTTAGTGAACACTAGTTTATTAGAGCTAAGATCAAATCAATCTTAGATAAGCAATTCAATTATTAAAATTAGGCTGTGCTAGAGAACTCATATTATGACCATAAGTGTGTTTTACAAATCAATCTTACATGACTCCAATTCCATTTAATAATTGATTATGTGTTAGCTATTGTGTGACCATACATAGATTTACATGAATTAATTAATGTTAGTAGATTTAGAACTAAATTGCTAATACTATCTTAATTGGTAACCAACAGTAATTGTCATAGCTAATCTATAAACCATTGAGGGAAAGCAGATTCGAACTAACAGAAGTGTTTTGTTTACTGATTTAATTTGTGTTAAAGAATTAAGTTCATCTAAACTTGCAAAATTAGATAAATCCCCCTCCTTTGTTAGTAATTAGGTTAATTTAGTAGTAAATAGATTAATTAGTCAAAACCGTTCCCTGTGATCGACACCCGACTTACCCGACTATTCTATAATTTGACTAGGTACACTGCCTAGGTGCAATTTAGTTAGTTAAGTTAGTTAGGTTATAAATATAAAATTAGGTGTAGCTATTTGCACGCATCAAGTTTTTGGCGCCGTTGCCGGGGAACGGCTTAATTGTTAGTTGATTTATTTGCTTTAGGTTAATCGATCCTTTTTGTGGGGTAAAACCTGCAAAAAGTTACTTTTCAGCTTAATTTTTTTTGTTTTTTGTTCCAGTACCTAACTCACGACGTGAGCCTTAAGCTCACGACATGAGTTCAGTAGATTTTACGTTTTCTTCGTTTTTATTTTCTGTTTAATTTTCTGCGACAACACGAGGTGGTGATCTTTACCACGTCGTGGTGACCAGTCAGTAGGCTATTTTTAGTTAATTTTAGTTCAGTTTTACGTTTTTATTTTTGTTTATTTTGCAGAAGTTCATGACCAGAGGCTCTAACACACCTTTGATGCCACCACTTGAAGATCCAGAGTCAGCCCTTCACAAGAAGACGGATAAGAACGCAGAAGTGAACCAAACACCAAAGAAGAAACCTTTCCAAGATCTCAAATCTGTCTTTACAAAGAAGTCCGGAAAGAAAACGGGAGAGTCGAGTTCATCTTCAAAGGACAAGAGCAAGATAGAAAGCTTAGATCAAAAACCTATCCCAACCGAATCTGAATACGAATCCGAGGCCGAGTTTGGACTGTATACGAGCGAACCCGAAGACGAGCCAAGAAACGAGATGGCGAACATTGAAGAGATGTCAATGGGAGCTTACAAGAAGCGAATTCGAGACGATGTTGGTCCAGGGTTAGTACAACCCGCGATTCCTGCCACTGCCACATTCGAGCTGAAGGGACACATACTTAATGCACTTAAGGATGTTCCATTTTATGGAAAAGATCATGAGGATGCTTTTAAGCATCTAGATGAGGTCAATGACATTGAAGATTATTTCAATGTCCCGAATGTTAATAGAGATACCGTCTTGCTAAGGATGCTTCCCGTTACTTTTAAAGGAGCTGCGAAAGATTGGTTAAAAGCACTTCCACCTGGTACAATCACTACTTGGGCTCAGATGCGCGAACAAT